AGGGAGTCAAGACCCCCCCCCTCGCCCCCCACAGAGATTGGGGGTTAGCCAGGGGGTCAGGAGGCAGAGAATGGCTTGACTTTGGGGCTAAAAGGCCTTCATGTGCGGCATTTCCACGTCCAGTTTCGCTGATCCAGCATCATGTCTGCTGATTAGTGTCCCTGTGTCAGGCTGTAGACCCCGGGATCTGACCCCCCAGGGAGGGAAACTGAGTGTCCTTTTAAAAGGGAGGAAGTACCGTTCTTGGCTACACTCTCTATCCAGCTCTCTCTTTCATTTTTTTTCTTAAAAGTCTGCCTTTCTGTTTCAGGTACAGACTATTTGCTTTTCAGACTCTGTCTGAAAGGCGTCTGTGAGCAAAAGGCGTTTACTGTCCCCGGCTTGCACGCATTCACCTCGTGGGCTTCCCGGTCGCTGAGTGGCCTGTAAAATCTATGTGGTGCGTGATCAAGCGCAGGTGATGCGACACGCCGCAGCTGATTCAACAAAGATCCCCACTGCGGCCAAAGACTCGCTGAGCTCCGGTGCCTAAAGCAAACCCCCCTCCATGCCACCGTCTGGGTTTTCGCTAGAAGCCGAAGCTGTTATGTATACAAGACAGGACACATAGCCCCAATTACTAACCCCTGTGCGTTGGGTTTAAAAGAAAAGCATTAAGTGTATTGCTAGATTAATACGAGTAGAACCTGACTTAAAACATTTGCTATGTAATTCTGTGGCAGCTGCTGGCTGAAAAAGAATTGAGGAAGTTAGAAAATAATGCATATTACAATAGTGATTTTTTCCAAAGAGAGAAAATGTGTTTTTGAATGACAATAAAGTTTTTTTAATGAGTTATTTCAAGGTTACTTGTTTCACAGTGTAATCTCAGAAAGAGAGGCGCTACTCTCTCACCTGCCTCTGATGTAACAGCAACACGAGTTGAAGGCAGCTCTGACTAAATCAGCATTTGGTACTAAATTCCCCGATTCCCTCACAGCTAATAATGGAGACATGAGGGCATATTTGAGGCCTCCTTCCAGGGATGCAATAGGGGCAGGGATACCCTGGCAGATTCAGGGGAGCAAGAACTTTCCATCGGCCCTCAAATATGTCAAATTATACATAAAATTGGTGGTGTGGGGATCCAAGGTGACATTTTGTCAGGGGGCAGAGTTCTAGTTACATCTCTGCCTCACACCAATATGACAAACAATACGACTGATGCTTAACTAGATAGGGACTGTTGAATGAAACCTCCACAGGTTTATACTTGTGATAGTATTTTTCAGACTATCTGCTTGACTCAAAGGTACAACATCAGTGCCATACCTGGGATGTGAACTGAAACCTGATGTTTGGAGTTTATACTTTTAATTACCACCTACTGCCTTAAATCACAATTATCTCGTACTAAAAATTCAAATGCAGAAATCTAGATTTTTTTTTACCCGCCACTAACAACATACAAATCAAATATCTCTTCATTAGCGGAGGGGAATGTTTAATCTGCCTATTTAATGATTAATTAACCCGATTAACTTTTGTTATTTGTATGACATCATGTTCTCTCTCTTAAGCTCTTGAGAGGTATTCAAAATGAAACAGTCCTCTATTAGAGTATGTTTGCATATGTATGGCTAGAGAAGTCGGTCTGGCTATATGGGGTTTATGTGGTTCCTCTCCTTGTATAGCAGTGTTTCCTAACCCGGTCCTCAGGGACTGTCAGACAGTCCACGTTTTTGCTCCCTCCCAGCTCCCGGCCCCGATCTGCGGGTCTCCGTGGACTAGGCTGAGGAAACACTGTTATAGAGTCTTCCATACTAGGGCTGGTGAAATCCTGTATGTTTGGTGCTTGATTGAAATGGGTGGTAATCCTAACCGTGTCTAGCCTCTTGCCGGGTGAAGCACTCTTAAAATAACCCGTCATCATCACACCAACACTTACCCACCACTCACAAGAACCGGCAGTATGCTAGCCTGTCAGTACACACACACACACACACACCTACCTGATCCTACCTCACTGTTCCCCAAATTTACATAGACACATAAAGCATACCCCAAAAACTGACCAAGATTATTATTATTATTATTATTATTACTCGCCAAAGCTTGGTGTTAGTCTGCAAACACACACCTTTCCTGAGACTTCTGTCACTTTGCTGCATCACGCTACACCGAGCGTGAATGAAGCTCTCCACATCAAGCCCTGCAGCCATTATGATATCATCTTTCGCACCAAACAGTAATGCTTATTAATTCTGCCGGCCTGTGCGGCGCAGGCTGGGGGGTGGAGGGTGCCCCCGCAGCTAGCAGTTAATTTAATTAGTCCAGCTGGGCTTTCGTTTCAGCCTGCCTGTGTCAGAGGCATTGTTGGCATGTTCCAGCGCTAACACAATTACTGATTGCTTTTAGATAGGCAGAAATATGATTAGGGTTTTTGGGCGACTGTATCATAAGCCTTATTAGTTTCATTTGAAATCTGCAGATAAATAGGGAAACTTTTATTTGCTGTGTAATGAGATTATGCTTATTAGGACGGGGGGGGGGCGTGTGACCCTTGTGCGGGGATTACAGGGCCACTGGCGGATAAGGAGGCCGACTGCGTACGGGCCGCTGTTCAAAGGCAACCACCCCCCACCCCCCCCCCTGAAATCCCACACATTTAGTGTCGAGTGCATGCCTGAGGCAGCAAGGCAGTAAGCAGGCACCTCAGGGAAATGTGGGGATGGTTTCTCAACAAGCCGGCCATCTTGTTTTTGTACGGTCATCATTCCCAGGAGCCACAAACGACTCTATTTTTGCTTAAAGCTGACGGATGACGTTTGCCGAAGGAACATCTGTAGAACTGCTTTCTTCTAGTCAAGGTCCTAAACTCCATATAGCGCACCTGCTTAACGAGGCCAAGTCACTAAGTGGTTAATGAAGGATAGCCCCTCTCTCTGGCCAGCACGTAGCAACCATTGTGTTCCGGCGAGTGCAAAGAGCCTCTTTCACAGCTTCTGACCCCGGGCAACTAAATGACTACATTAAAACATGCTTTCACACTAGACCCTCATCTGCTACCCATTAGAGTTAGGACCTATTACTCGGGTAATGAATGACACGGTCCCTAATTATAAATGTACTCAGAAACGCTGACATTATTAAAGGCAGAGAGCTTGCAGCCCCATTAACAGGGCTGCTCTAAGTGATATGCTTGTGAACTGTTTGAACCATTACATTCATTACATATCAATCAAAATAGGTGTTGCGATTAATTGATGAATGGAACAATGGTTAAAATCTAACAATAATTGCAGAGCTCTCAGAGAAAAAATACTTTTGTACTGACATGAGCATATTTATAAATACATTAGTAAAACAGAAATGAATGTGTTGTGGGTGATTCTGGAGCTGTGTACTGTACAAAAGCTGATAAAAACAGCATATGTACATATAAACATGTATATATGATCAGATGGCATCTTCTCAGTGTATCATTACTTTTCATTTTGGGGGAAATTCGGCACAAGTTTACCGTGTCTTGAATAGTCGTCACAAGGGTGCGTGTATGTTTGTTCAGCTTTAATATTTTGTATGTTATTTTGAGCAGGTGGTACGGTAGCGAAGTGGTTTGCCCTGTGGACTCGTACCTCTTGGACCAGGGTTTGAGTCTCCGAAATGTCCCCATGAGTATGGGGTTTGTGTGTTCTTCCCATGTCGTCATGTTGGTTTTCTTTGAGTACTCCGGTTCCTCCCCTCCGAACAGTCAGAAAAACATGCCGAAGTTAATTGGGGTTACCAAATTGGCTGCAGGTATGGGTTGTTGCCCCCTGCTGCGTTACTCCTGTAGCTCCCAGGTGAGCCTCTGCCCTTTGTGATCCTGCGCAGGAAAGGCAGCTACAGGGGATGCATGGATCTTGTTTTGTTGCCCTGTTGATGCATTTAACCAAAGTGACTCACGCAACTCATGCTTTTCCATTGTCCACGTACTTCAGTGCGAAGCCACTTCACATATCGGCCCTCTGAAAGGTACAGCAGAAGTTCCCACTCGGAGTCTGATTCTCTAGTCGTCACGCGACCCGCCTTGGCGACGATCAAGGTGTTTTCAGTGCCGCTCGCCGAGAGGCGTCTCCTTCGCCAGACATCTGACTCCTGTTGACAAACATATTCTGGTGAGAAATAGCAGTGCAGCGCTCCGTAAACACGCAGCCCTGGGAGTAATTACTCACCGCCAAGAATCTGAATAATTCCAGTAGAAACAACTGGGAAGCATCACAAAGAGTTTGCACAATGGGGAAGAGCAGCAAGTCAGATATTAAATTGCAGTAAATTACATAGCCTTCACGTTAAGGTTAATAGATAGGAAGGCTTTTGCACACGCTAATGCCTAATCACTTGGGTTAAAGAGGCAGTTTGGTGGTAATAAATATTTTTGTGTTCTGCCATGTTGGGCAATGCTGCCATGGCTCTTACCAGCAGGCCTGCTGAGGACAGGTTAGAGCGGGGGAGTCGGCCATCTGTTTCCCCCCCGGAAACCTTGGCAGTGGCTGTGAGCATTATGTGCTGCTCAGAGTGGCGTGGGACCCGGAACGCGGCCAGAGGCGGTTGCTGGTATTTACGTAGAATTAAGCGTTACGCTGCAGTCCCGTTAAGAGCTGGGAAATGACCGTGTAAGAGTGCAATGATGGTCCTTCTGTAGCACCCTACACACTCTTAACCCAAATCTGTTTAGCAGTACTGGGCTCTGCATGTTGTGTTTGGTAACAGAAATATTGCTTTTTTTCCACTTAGTTCATTTCTGCTTATCTTATGATTCGGAACATGCCAGGCAGTGTGTATCATCGATAACTTCTGGCTGTAAGAAAGGTCAAAGGATTGAGCGGGAAATTCTCTGTGTGGCTGGTGCACAGCAGACCTACAAGCTTCCGGCTTTCAAGGGCATCTGGTTGCCAAAGGATTTAAGCATATAACTCAATACTTTGCGTCCAGGGTATTGAACCAGTGGAATCTTGTTCTATGCGTCTGCCAGCATATTTCCAGAGCCGACATCTGAAAATATTCATCTGTGTGTGTGTGTGTGTGCTAGATGGTGTTGGGTTGAGAGTTTCTGTCTCACTCCCAATGCGCAGCAAAGCCAGAGGCTGCATGTCTGATTTGCTCGATGGTGCTGGGATTTTGGCAGCGTGTGAACGAGACTGGGAAGCTTCGGCGATTTTCCGCCTGATTTGGTGGAGGGAGTCGGAGTGTAAAGCGAACGCGTGCACAACGGCCATTGTCGTACATTTAAAACAAATCAGTATTTAATGCTAAAATTAATAACCAACAGATGGTTAACATGTAAATACATCACTGGCAGTCTGAAATACCTCACTTCCCACCTCGGCCCGCCGTGGCGCGTGTCCGAGCGCGTGTCCGACCCCACACCCGGAGTCACGCGTTCTCCATGAACACACTCCAGCGCTGTTTACAAAGCGACGCGCTGAAAGCAGAGGAACCGCAAGTGTTTGGCAGAGCCGATCGCGGCAGAGCGGCTCCCAAATGTGCCTGGAGCTGTAGGGGAACATTAAATCAAAGTGGGATTGTGCCCCCGGCCCCGTGTCTGCTAATAGACGAGGCGGGCTCAGGGTTCGACTTAAGGCCTTCTTCAACCCTCTGGTTAAATCTCTGTTAGAGGTGGTACTCTCTCCAGTGAAGATTTATGTGTGTGAATTTATGTGTGTGAACTCCTCCTGGCCCCTGAATTACATGACACACACACACACACCATGTTTTAGGACTGTTTCATTTTCCTCTGTCTTGCTACAAAGTCTTTTAGCCCCGGGGGTGGGGCAGCATGCATGCCCCCCCACCTCATCCCTCGAGGTGGCTCGTTTGACCTGCTGGTCACCCTGAGCAGTTCATCTGTGTTCTGATCCGGGTAGTGACTGGCTTTAGTGTGACCCGGGCTGAGCTGACTTCATCTGAAGAGGTGCCAAACACAGTCATTAGCACGCTCATGGGTCCCTAATAGCTTTGGAGAGTCCATTGTGGCCTAATATTAGTATACAATACATTGTAATATATGTAGTGGAATCTAGAGGATCGAAACAGCGCAGTCAATCGCACTGAAAGTTATAATTTGTCTATTGTAGGTCTATTATTCCATCTGCTGTTCCAGTAACATCTGCTTTCTGGAAGCTTGAATTGTAACCGCAAAGATCTGAGAACTAGGCATGACTTTGACATTGGACTAAACGAGTCAGACACGGAGCTTTTACAGACTACATCAGTTAGGAAAAAGCACACGGTTTACTCTGCCCCGATCTAGTTTTGCTGAGACACAGCCACGGTGCTCAGATGCAGAGATTTGGGGCTTCTGGGTAATCAAAGAGAACTCATGAGGTTCATTGTGGTCAAGCACAGTCAGAGTGTGTGTTTTCATCTGAATCAAGGACTGAAAGCCAATATATTCTTATTATACCCAGTGCTGGACTCAAAAATCCAGTTAATCCCAATCTAATAATATAATAGGCAAAAGAGAGTGTTTAAAATGTAAATGTGTAGTGTTTTGTGCGTACGGCTGTCTTTTATTGAAAATAATCACTTTCACTAAAGCACATTCACCAGACATTATAAAACGGCAAATTATTTGACATAATTTGGAATATTAATGTAATACAACATGAAAACAATTATTTGCATACCAGAACCTCATTACCACATGTAGCACTTCACTGGTTATGAGTGTAAATAAAATCCAATAATACGAGAGCATGTTATAAAATTACACGAAAAGGAATATTATTCACTAAAATGAATAAATAACTGGCAAAATGGTATCTTCTTATTTATTTCGATGTGGGAATCCAAACAGGTTTGAAATGCAAAATTAATGATGGATTTTAATTATTTCTGCTTGGGGTTTTTACGCATTGGTTTGAAGACAATGGAAAGCGCAGACCTGTGGTGGGTATGCTGGGATTATCCCACCAATCAGTGTTTGTAAACAGATCGTGGCGTTAAGCGTCTGACACGAGGCTGACACCTGCCGGCATTTAAATACGTGCAGAACGGCGGGATCTGATTAGATGTGCGGCACTAATAAACAGCGAATCAAAACAGAAATGGTGCCGTGAGCAGGAACTGAAAATTAGAGGAAGGTATTTAGGCCCGATAAGCTCTGTTAACAAACAGGAGGAAACAGCATGCGGGCGAATGAAGATCTGTTTGGTAACTCCTGCTGATTAGGCCGAAGCGTCACTCTAGCTGCCGTTTCCCATTGTGGAGTTGGATGCTGGTGAAAGCCACCGTACCCCAGTCTGTGTTTGTTTATGCTGATAGAAAGAACAACAGTGGAAAACAAATTGCAGTCCCAAGACCCAATAAGAGAGACACAGTCGTCCTTATGTCACCCTAAAGTGCAACACAACGTCTCGCCTAAACTTCACACCTGTTCCTGCTGCCTGTTCATGTTTAGGTCCTACTGACTTATTTATGTTTCCAAGAATCATTGGGCACAGGAAATTTTCTTGGAGTCAGGTGATCTGGTTTCTCATTGGGTGCTCCTGACAGTTATTGTATGATGTTCTAGAATTCTCAAGGAGCCATTTGTGACATAATTACCAGTGTGGTACCTTATCTTCAGGGTTGGATGTAATGCTGAAAGGTTTCCCTCACTGCTGAAAACAAAAAATGGATAATCCCCAGACCAACTTTCTAATCATGTGTCTTAATGAGAGGCGCCCTGAACGTTGTAAGTAATCTGATTCCTTTCCATGAGAACATGAGAATAAAAGGGAATTTAAAAATAACTCTTTCAAAATTCACCGAATCAGACATCTCCCCAGATACTTCAGAATGGAAGCCCTCGCATTGTTCCACATACACACAGACTCTCACTTTGATAAGATATATGATTGCGCAATTTTGTGTGATTTTAGGCTAAATCTACAGATCTGAGCCATCTCTCTTGGGGGGTTGGGGGGGGTGGGGGGGGTCACGGTTGAACTGGCCCTTGTGTGGTCTTCTTCACCCACATCTTGTTGGGAATGTTTTAATCTATTGTTTAAATTTTTAAAGGGTTGGCTCTGTTGAAATTATTGCTGTTTGTCGTAATAGTGGAAAGTAAACTTTTCACTTTTTTGGGATAAACTGGTTAATTCTGGGGGTCACAACCTTAGAGACTCAAAAACCAACCCAAAGACATGAATTAAAGAATAGTTCTGTATGCAATGGCTTCATGCTTTCCTTTATTATTATTAGTGACGTATTCTGATCTATATAAAACACCTTATACAAATTTAACATTTAAACGTTGATTCATGTAAAGTGTCGGGAGCTCTGTTATTTGTGTTCCTGGAAGAAAAAGACTGTGAAGATGTTCAGCCGAAATGCTGGAAGCCATGTCTGAAACGCCGAAAAAAACGACAAAGTTTGGCGCAGCCAGAGAACCGCAAACGAAGCGCAGCAACCGTTGACCTGACATCTGTTTTCCAGAATGATTTGTGGGCAACCGCTTCCAGCCGCACACAGTGTCAGACTGTGACAGGCTGTCAGGTCCACGCGGTTGCCAAATGTGCGCTCCGATGACGGCATCGCGTTCCTGCTTACCTCATATTTGCCAAGCAAGACCGGAACCTTTCAGAGATTCTATCGTATTCATGACCAAACCCAGTGACCTGCCCTATTACGGTGCCATTTCGGAGGAAGTTAGTTCCTTATTAGTTGCTGTTGTTTTATTTGTTTGTTTTTTCATTCGGATAATGGTTTCTTAAAGTTTATGCACAGTGAAAAACATTCACATTTCAGTTTCTGAACCGTGGACGTTAGATCTGAGTGCTTTGTACAAGACTTTATTATACGCCGTGGAAATAACTCTTGAAACTATGTGACATTTGATTTATTGACATTTGAAAAACCGCTGTGATATTTAGACTGAACAAACGCATATAATCGATTTATATGATGTATTTGATAAACATAATGGGCGACAGTAACAGATGGCATTGGGTGGAAAATGTTGATTATCTTTTCAAAATTAATTAGCAGCAAGTTTTCTTAAGTTCTTTAAACGCCATCACGCTGTCCTGACAATAGATTGGGGAATTAATTACGTGCTATTGTGGATAATTTAATGGAAAACTTTAGTAGGCGACTTCTAGT